CTCCTCCTCCTCCTCCTCCTCCTCCTCCTCCTCCTCCTCCTCCTCCTCCTCCTCCTCCTCCTTACAGATCCACTTAACACCACCCCCGCCTCCTCTCTCTGGTTTTCTGCTTCTTCTCTCCTGTCCTCTCTCTCTCTCCCTCTGCCAATCTCCTCCAACGCTCCTCCATCCTCTCATACGTGCCCGCAGGTTCCCGTCGTCCCATGAGGCTCCGAGTGACAGCACGTCACTACTGCACAAGTCAGGAGCGGCGAGGAGGATGTATCTGAAGTTCTCCTCCTCTCTTTCTCTCTTCTTTGACATCTTGTCCTCCAGGTACATCGGGATCATCGTTGGTGCAATCGCCGCCATCGCCCTCGTTGTAGCGTTCCAGACTTCGGTAGCTCCACCAGTCCCACCTGCCACTTGCTCCCTCTCTCTAGCCACCTGCTGCCTCCTCTAGTTACCTGCTATCTCCTTTCTGAAGTTGCTATGCAGCAGATGTCTCATCCTGTAGAGAGAGAGGCTCTCCTTTCTCATTCTCCTTCCAAGAGCCTCAAGAGCATTCATGGTTGCCGTTCCTCCTCTTCCTCTGACCCCCAGCTCACCTCCTCCCAGCTCACCGCCAGCACAGCACTGCACGAGCTCACAAGACGCTCGCAACAATCGGTCCTACTCTTTCTCCTCTTCAACTTCTCCTCCTCCCTTCCGCCTCCTCCTCCCTCCTTCCTTTCCCTGCTCCCTCCTTCCTTTTCCTGCTCCCTCCTTTCCTTCCAAGTTGTTGCTCCTCCCTCCCCTTGTTCATTCTCCTCCTCCTCACCCACGATTCTCGTTGTGACATCAGACCCAGCGCACAAGGCGAGCATGAGCAACGTCAGGAAGGCAGAGAGTGCGGCTGCAGCAGCGCAGGTGGAGGTTGTTGGTGGATCGAGCGAGTCCTGACGTCTTGTAGAAACTTGCCGAGGAGGCGGAGGAGAGCAGCGAGACTGAGGGGGCGAGCAAGAGCGACAGCGGAGAAGAGGAAGGAGAGGAGGAGAACGAGTCCGAGGAGTCCTCGAAGCCTTGTCCCGGTAGATGGAGCTGAGGGTGAAGGAGGGAGGGAGCGGGAGGCATTCGTGGGAGAGTGGAAGGAAGGGGATGAATGTCAGGTTGGGATACGAGGGAGGAGGGGAGGGGGTGGGAAGATCAGGGGAGAGGGAGGCTGAAAGGATTGTGGAGGAGTCGGTGGGGGGGGGGGGGGGACTAGGGTGGAGCTGAAGAGTGTGAGGTGAAGGACGGTTGGGGGAGGCTGAAGATGGCGACAGGCTCTCCCTGTGTCTCGGTGACCAAGGACCTGGGCAACTACGTTCTCTCCGGCACTCTGCATGTGACCCTGAGCCCTGAGGTGCTGGGAGGCTCAGGAGAAGGAGGGGGAAGAGTACGGTGGCTGATGCTGAGCACAGGAAGCAGAGCTGGTGATGGCAAGGGAGCAGCAGACTGCAGACAGCATCTCGAAGGTGCTGCAGACTAGCCTCCGCCTTCCATCCCTCGCATAACCTCTCAATCCTCTCCCTCCCTCCCTCTCCCTCCCTCCCTCTCCCTCCCTCTCCCTTCCCTCCCTCTTCCTTCGCCCTCCTCTCCCTCCCTCCTCGTCGTCCCTCCCCCTGGCAGTGACGTGGACTGGCAGGTTGAGCAGCTACTCCCAGAGGTGACGGGGCTGGCGAAGCAGCTAGAGAACACCAAGGAGGACTATCAGAGTGAGAAGGACACAGTCGAAGGTCGTCACCCGCTCCTCCTCGCACGCGACTGATCGCCATGGCAGACCTTGAGAGACAGCACGAGGACTTGAAGAGGATGGTGCGACGCATAAGGAAGTCTCGAGGGCAGCGAGGAGATCCTGGACTACCCGGCCCCCCAGGTGTACTCTCCCCCTCGATGTCTTCATCCTTCCCCTCCCCTCGCTCCCTTCACTCTCCCCGGTTGTTCCCTCCCCCTCTTTCCGCGTCTTTACACTTCCCTCTCCTCTCTTCCTTGATCTTCCTCCCACTCCTTCCCGCTCCCTCCTTCTCTCTCTTCCTCCTCTGCCCTTGGGCTTCAAGTTTGACTTTCTCGCAGGCCCGCCAGGTCCCCGCGGGTACAGGGGGAAACCAGCTTATGGCGTCGCAGGTAGGGCACACGGAACCCCCCGAACCTCCCAACCACCCCAACCCCCTCCCCTCCCCCTCCATTCCCAGCTGTGAGTGACTTTCCACCTCAGTCCCAGGAGTGAGGGGTCCAACTGGACTACCTGGTCCGAGGGTGAGTCCCCAGCAGGAGCCTAGCTCTTGAGTTCGCCGCCTGACGCCCTCCTGCGGCAGGGGGTGACCGGTCCCATTGGCGTGCGAGGACCCCGAGGCCCGATGGGTCCCGCTGGATCCCCAGGTGACGTCCAGCTTCCTCCCCCTGCTGGGCTGTAGCTGACCTTGGCGAGCCTGCAGGTCTCAACGGCTCGGACGGGAAGGGTGAGGGAGGAGGAGGAGGCGTCGAAGTCACTTCCTGACTCCTCCCCCAGACGGTCTTCCAGGACGCCCTGGGCTGGATGGGCCCAAGGGACCGCCAGGTCTCCTCCCCCAGCTGCAGCCCACCGGCAGTGCTGACCGTTGGGTTGCAGGCTACCCGGGCCCCCGAGGACGCACTGGAGCGCCTGGTGATGCAGGAGCTGCGGGCAAGGACGGGGTACCAGGGAAGGAAGGAGCGGAGGGGAAGGCTGGGCCACAGGTGGGTCTGCTGCTGGGCTTCTCCTAAGGCCTGACTGAGAACTCCAGGGACCTCCGGGCCCACCAGGCCCACCGGGAGCCCGGGGCCCGACCGGGGAGACCGGGGCGCCGGGAGTGGTGGGAGCTCACGGTGAGCTGGAAGAGTGCAGTAGAGCTGGACGGGTCACTGACGGGCTGTAGGGATGCCGGGCCTGCCGGGCCTGCCGGGCCCGATTGGAGCTCGTGGAGAGACTGCCCAGGACGGACCGCAAGGGCCGCCGGGCCGGCCGGGAGTGAGGGGGCCGCAGGTAGAGGAGGAGGACGAAGATGATGGGGCATGAGGAGGAGAGAGAGAGAGGAGTGGGAAGATGATGTGGAGGGAGAGGAGGAGGCTGGTGACTGAGAGCTGCTGCAGGGAGCTGCGGGAGCTCCAGGGGCTCCAGGTGAGGAAGAGAAAGATAAAGAGGAGGGGCGGGGGGAGGGGAAGAGACAGAGGAAGAGGGAGGGAGGAAGAGGGAGGAAGAGGGAGGAAGAGGGAGAGGAGATGGCAAGATGACGTGGCTTCAGGAGGCTCAGCTTGAAGGCAGCTGGGGAATTCTCTTCGATACCTTTGGAGGAGGAGAAAGTTGTACACTTGAGATTATTTGCTAGAATACTACTTGATAACCTGTACCTCCTCCCTCCTCCCTCCCTCTCTCCCTCCCTCCTCCTCAACTTCTTGTTCACTTCCTCCTCCTTAACTTCCTCCTGCACTCCCGCTCCTTCCCCTTCTCCTTCCCTCCTCCTCCCGTCGTTCAGCTCACCATCACGGGCTGCTGCTGCTGCTGCTGCTGCTGTTGCTGCTGCTGTTGCTGCATACCCCGCACCAGCGTCAGCAGCTCACCATCACGGGCTGCTGCTGCTGCTGCTGCTGCTGTTGCTGCTGCTGCTGTTGCTGCATACCCCGCACCAGCGTCAGCAGCTCGTCGATCTTGGCCCCTTGACTCCTCTGCTCCTCCACCACCGTCTGCGACAGCACGGCGAAGTCTTGCCGCAAGCTCGAGAGCTCTTGGGAGAGGAAGGAGACGTCAGGGCTGAGCTGAGCACCAGGGTCGGGAGGCAGCTCCAGCAGCTGCTCCTCCTCCACCTCCTCCTCCATCGCTGCCAGTCGCTCCAGCCGGCCCTTGTGCATCACCTGGGCCTCCAGCTCCATCCCCTCCACGTCCTCACCTAACCCAGCAGGGAGTGAAGTGACAGGGGGGTGCAAGGAAGGAGGAGGAGGAGGCAGCGGCGGCGGCGCGTAGTCCGGCGGGGGCTTGCGGAGGATCTTAGGAGCGGTAGGGATGAAGGTGGTTCCTAGGAAGGCATAGAAGATTTTCCTCCTCGTCAGCCAGTCCGGCTGCCAGCCCTCCTGGGCTGCTGCCTTGAACTCTCGGTAGTTGTCGTTGCTGACGATCCACCCGTCGCTCTCCCATGCGTACTGGATGATGAACGCGTCGTCGTCTCCTCCAGCTGGCGTGAACTTCACCAGCCCCTCGTCGAAGAGCTGCCGCAGCTTCCTGGGATCATCCGCCACGTTCCTGCCCAGCTTACGTCACTTCCTCCTCCTCCTCCTCCTCCTCCTCCTGCTGCTGCTTCAGTTGCTGATGGTGTAGGGGAGGCGGCGGGGGGGGGGGTGGTGACGGCGGGGGTGGCGTCGCAAGAATAGGGGCTAGAGGCTGTCCTTGTCCGACTATAGACCACCTATCAATCTTCTGTCATGTGATCCGCAGCAGGAATGCAAAACGATGGAGAGGGAGCGTAGAGAATCATTGAATGGTGACAAAAGATGCATGCGTGCATCTCTTTCGTGATATGTATGACATTGTCATAAGGAGTTACCGCCGGTCATAGAGAGAGCATTACTGTGAAGAGATCTATAACCCAACATCGC